AATGCATTGGTTTAAATGGAAGGATCTCGCTATACCAAAGGTTTGTGGTGGTATGGGGTTCAAAGATCTTGTACTCTTCAATAAAGCTATGTTAGCAAAGCAAGGGTGGCGATTGATTTGTAATCCCGACTCGTTGTGTGCTCAGGTCTTGAGAGGTAAATATTATCATGAAGGTAATCTATTGACAGCTGGAAATAAGAGGAATGCTTCTCATACTTTGAGAGCGATTTTGTATGGTCGTGAAGCTCTAAAGTTGGGTCTAATTAAACGCATTGGTGATGGTGCAAGCACGAGAATTTGGGATGATCCTTGGATACCTTCAAACCCAACTTTAAAACCAATTGTAAGGCTTCCTTCATCGGATGTTACCCTTGTGGAGGAATTGATGAACCCGGTTACGGGAGAATGGGATGAAGAAGTATTGGAAACAAATTTTGTTTCGGTCGATGCCCAGGCTATAATGAGAATTCCAAATGGGCGCCTTGATGGAGACTTGTGGGGATGGCATTTGGAAAGGAACGGTAATTTTTCAGTCCTCTCTGCTTATAGGGCGCTTCTTGTAGCAAACACTACTATCAATCCAGTGATGGGCTCAAGAGGATCTGAACAAGTTTTCTGGAAGAAGCTACGGAAGATGAGAGTGCCTCCTAAGGTTCATAATTTTTGGTGGCGGGTCATCAAGAAGTTTATTCCATGCCGTCAGGTTCTGAAGGATAGACATATTGAGGAAATTTTGTTTTGCCAATCATGTCGGCGAGATGAGACTATTAGGCACGCATTGTTTGAGTGTACATGGGCAAAACTTTTCTGGCAAGAGCTGAAGGCTGTTACTTCATTCAAGCTACCTGACCTTCATCCGGGTACTTGGGCCATAGACCTTATTGACAGTGAGATGATTTATTTAGATGATGCAGTTGTTGTTCTTTGTGGAGGATGGGTTGTATGGTCGGAGAGGAATGCTAGGCACCATGAGGAGCAAGTTAGAACGGTGGCACAATCTGTTAAGTGGACAACAGATATTGCTATGGATCTCTGCGCTGTTGCTGGAAAGAATAAAGTGTGTGGCCCAAAGGTGCAAGTTAAGTGGCAGCCGCCGCAAGAAGGAAGTCTGAAGATGAATGTGGATGCTAGCTTCCAGGTGAACTCGGATGAGGGAGCTACGGCCTACGTGAGCATTCTGGATCCTTAATCAGAGGCCAAGCTTTATGGTATGAGCAAGCTGAAAATGTTTTGATTATGGAAGCTTTTTCTGTTAGGGATGGAACTAAACTGGCTTGCGATCTAGGCCTCGGCAACATCACAATTTTTTTCGAGGGTACGCCAAAGGCGTACCATAGCTTTATAGAAGGGGGAACATATGTACAAGAGAGGTTTGTAGCTAGTCACGTAGTCACAAGTCGACCCGGACATCGCCTCCACTCCAAACTCAACACTCTATGTGCTACTCAACTACATGCTCCACTCCAGTTGCTCCGGCCTGCATCCGGATGGCCAAACCCTGAAGCGCCTCTTCATGCATGCATGCATGGGACGTAGTCACCTCCGTGCCAGGGCCCACGGGACCCAAACCCTGAAGCGCGTCAGGGCTCGTTTGCCCCCCGTCCTTATCATGTGGCGCGGGATCCACCTTAGGCGCATCGGGATCCGTTCGCTTCCCATCCTTGTCTTGTGGCACAGGATCCACCTCAGGTGCGGCGTGCAGGGGATCCAAGGCTGGGCCCCTCTCATCTGCAGCGCGCAGCACCAATGAACTGGGCACTGCCCGCACCAGTGGCCCCGCCTCCATGGTGAGCACCGGCGCGGCATCTGCACAAACCGCCTCCCCCTGGCCCCGCACAGCTGGCAAGGCGCAACTATCTAGGGCCTGGGTGCCCTCCCCCTGCCCCGCAGAAGGTGGCACCAACGTGCACACCTCGGGATCCCCGGATCCATCTGGAACAGCCCCGAAGATCGTGATAGGCCCCGTCCCGGCTGGCTCCAGAACTGCGTGAACCTCCTGGCACGTGTCGCTCATCTCCTCATACCTGGTTTGAATTAAAGGCGGTTGCGGGCCCAAAACTTGGTCAAAAGGCACCTGGTCGGCAGCAGGCTGCGCCCCATCCTGCACATGTGACCGTGAGGCGGGTCCCACCTGTCTGCTAGGCGCTGGCTCCACCTCCTCCGTCCCAGGCTTGCCTTGCGAACTCCCGGCCACCGTAGTCACCACCGCAGCGCCCGGCGACGGCACCGTGGCCGCCGGAGCAGCAGCACGTGGCCGCGCGATGGTAGCGCCGCCATCCACCATAGGGGGGATGCGCCAGTTGGAGGGCCCGATGCGCCCCAGCAGCGCCTGCCTGTACGAACCTCCATGGTGACCATTGGACGGGCCGCGGTGATCACGCACTCCCCGCGCCCAGGGCAAGATTCTCCATTCTCCACGGCTAGAGAAGTCGCCTGAATCGTCCGGCATGCCGCTCTGGCCGCTCCCATCAGGGCTTGGAGGCCATAACCAAGTGCCCGGTCCCTCGTGCTCCCTGATCAGCCCGATATGGATGAGCGCTTTGTACTCCAAGAGCTGTCGTGAAGTCGGCATCCTCGTCGCCGGTCCCTCGTCAACCTCAGGCTCCGAGACCCAAATAAGCTTGTCCGACGGCAGCGCGTCCGAGTCAACACACCAAGCGCGAACCTTAAACAGAGACAAATCCTCCCTGCTTGCTGTCTCCGGCGCGAGGCTGTCAACGAGACACGCCGTGCCCAGCAGCTCCACCGTCGTTTCCCTGGTCTAGACATGAGATGGGACTCCCTCAATCATGAGATCAACCTGCGTGTGCATCATCCTCGACACGGCCTGCGCTTGTCGCAGCCATGGCCGAATAAAGAGCTTGAACGGCCCAGGATCGACAGAGCCCGCAGACAGTGCCCTGTTTCGCCAGATCGCCGAAGAGAAGACCACAAGAAAGTCCTCCGGGTGGTACTTGTGTACCGAGAAACAGTGTCGCGGGATGCTCAGCTCCGTCGCAATGGCCTCCGCGGCATCCAAGCACGAAACCGGCGGTCAAGGGCCACCGACATAAGCCACCACGGCGAGCTTGAGCCGCGCTTCAAGGTCGTCCATCTCCGGCGAGCGGCGAAGAATGCAAACACCTCCTACAGCAGCATGCGGTGCCAGGCTGAGCCCCACAGGTGCGGTGTCGGCCGGCACTGGCGAGGGCCTCTCCACCGGAGCGGCCTGCCGGGCGACCGGCGATAGCCTGTTCGCAGGCCCAACCGGCAGCATCTGCTGAGAGGAGCGCGCAACCTTGGCCATGGCCTCACGCCGGAGATCTTCCTCGGAGCGAGGGCTCCGCGGCCTCTTACACTCCGGCGAGATGTGGCCTTCGAGCCCGCAGCGAATGCACAGAGGCGGAAAGGTGCAGTCTTCCCTCTGATGCCCCTCTCGAAAACACTTGAAACACAGGCCAAATAGATCTGCCGGCACCTCCCGCCTCGCAGGGGAAGAAGAAGGCGAGCGCGAGCGAGGACCCGACCTGCCTGCCGCGGACTGCTTCTGCAGCGCCTTGCGCCGGCGCCACATGGCCTTGCGGGAGGGGCCAGGACGGCGCCAAGGCGCAGCCGCGCCCGCCGCCGGCACCGGCGCGGTGCCGCCCGCGGCGGCAGGAGCCCGGGCCGACGACCCAGCAGAACCCGGCGATTCGACAGACCCAGGCCCGAGACGATAGGCCGCAGGCGGGACGAGGCCGAAGGGGGGCTGCTGCCACCAGAAGCCATGGCAGACCGCACCGGAGCGAGGAGAAGAGCAGGGGAGGAGGGGACGCCGGGGCCGGGGTGACCGCCGACGGAGAGAGGTGGACGCCGGGGCCGGGG